CATTTAATTTATTTCTTTAATTGTGAATAGTTATTAAAATTGTACTTTTAAAACTTGATTGTATTTAGAGATATAAGGTGAAGTCCGAAATGTTTAAAAAAAGCGTGAAGTATGAGTCATTAAATGCAAAACCATAAAAATCCTATACTGGCGGCCATATTTACCTCAATATCTTATGCCAAATATTATGTGCAACTCTTCAAAGATTTTTTTGTTTGTTTAAAACACAAAAGAATAAGATATAATGCTAGATATTGCATTATTTTGCAAATATTGTAAATTGTCAGAAGGGTATCTCAAAATACTGGATTTTGGCGGCCATCTTGGCGGCCATTTTGAATTTTGGCCGCCATTTTGATTTTTAAGGCTGGGATCTCGATCCAAAACAGGTAGACATACATCAAACTAGGATAATCTAAAGTGGTTTGCTTGTAGAATTAATAGAACGATTATATGTACTCTGACTCTAACTATACTCAGCTTAAATTTATTAAGTCCAATTTAAGGGAAGCTATCCCATCTTATTTTGAGATTTATAGGCACAATAGATATGTTTGTATCAATAGTTCATTTTTATTGTGTTTTTTAAAAGTTCGAATCGCTTAAATATTTCAGTTGCCAAAATATCTCTCAAAACTAGTTTTGGAAATTTTTCAAATCATAACCCACTTAATGCAGTCCGAATTTGAGATACCATCATTGCTATAATAAAATGTGTTATACAGTAAATATACTCTGATATTTACCTGTAATTTTAGAATATACTATGATATTTACCTGTAAGTTTACACAAATTCACTTCTTAGTCGGTCATTGAAACGTATTTCAAAGCTATGTGATTAAGAGATTAATAATTTTTTTTTATGTTTTTTGTTTTGTTTAAATTTTCTCCAACATAATTAAAGAAGACTCATGTATATCATAGACAGAGACAAAAATAGTAGAAGATTACAAGATATATTGCTCTATTTGCTCTTCGGCGAACTTGCTTCCCAAAATTAACTAACACAGTTATTTCATTTATCAATCCGAGCTTTGAATTGTACCATATATGAACGGTCATACTGCGACAGTTCTCAGTGGTTCTAAATATTCAACAAAATAATAATAATAATAATAATAATAATAATAATAATAATAATAATAATAATAATAATAAAATAAAAATAAAAAAGAAACGACAAAAACAGCAACAACAACAAACAAAGAAAAACAGATTTTCATCGATCTTTTGATCTTTTTATTTCTTTTTTGTTTGATATTATCAAAATTTATAATTCGAATATAAAGCTTGTCGCCAAATCACATCAGACATACTTGTTTAACGAAAAGGAAGAAAGAGATTCAAAACAGATTTTATTCTTGTATATATCATCATTATCATCCCCTTTTTACTTTTTCGTCGGACGCTAATAGAAAATTTTTTTATAACCCCTTAACCGACTTGTATATAGTTTATTGCTTATTGGGAGTCCATCGGCCCTTTTGGACACTTGACAAACTCACAGGTAGTGTCTGTAAAGAAAAATGTGGAAACCAAAATCTTCATCTTCAGAGTTAATCTCTCTGCCATTTTCGCTAATAATTAGACTAAAACAGTGTTTTTTTTCAGCTGCGAAAAAACTGTTTGGTTATAATATGATCTATTACTTAGTCTAAAACAATTATAGTCCTCAACTTGTCAAGTAATGATACTGCTAATAGATCAAAGTCCACGCAAGCATGCACACACACAAAGGGTCAAATGTGCTCCATATCGTTACTCTTTACATACAGTATGATTATAAAATCATTTATAATAGTGTGTATAGATCAATTTGATAAAATGGTATTAAATAAATCTATGTAATTTGTAATTAAAGTAGGGGATTAAATTGCGATTATCTGTCATGAAAGAAAAGAATATTTGGACGAGAAAAAAGCATATTGTCTTGGGACTAAAGCGCTGATAATGAAAATACAATTCGCGGCTGCTTTTGGATTGAAGTACTCTGCATACACTTAATATTTAGGTTAATCGCGTTAATTTTGTGTCGAAAATTAATCTTCCGGGTGAGAGCAATAAAGTCCAATCGAACTTCAAATCGTAGGACAGCTTCCTTACACGAAAGAAATCCAAAGTTCCTGGCGGGATTGAAACATACGGTTGTGAGGGGCAAGTGGTTTGAAGTAACTGAAATACTCGCGTAAAAATGAAACAATGATGTATATGCTCTCTTAATATTCATAAGAGTCTTATAAAAATCATTTATAAAAAATATCCTGTTTATTAGCAAATTAATTTGTGTAAGCCAACGTACAAATCCCAGTAAACAAATGACGTTAATATAACGTCGGATTGTCGTTTGATTTTGGTCACGACGTCGTCGACGACCAAAATACGACGTAAATCTGACGTCCAAAAACCGATGTCTATTATACGTTTCTTTTAGACGTCGTACTAAACTCAGGTTCTGGTCTGTTACATGACGGTAAGTAAAAATAACAAAGAAAAATATCCTAATTCGCTGTTGTAAATATTTAAACTTTTTTAGGGGTACATATGCAGGTGCCTTTCGAAGGCCAAGTGCGCGGTGCTGCAATCAATAAAAACATATGTGGCGCTGTAAATATAGATAGCCTCAGACCTGTATACAAGTTCCAATCATTATACGTTTTTTTATCATTTATAGTATTTTATGTATCACAATAACGGTGTTTTAACATTAGTCACAGTGACTTAAAAAGAAGACAACAATTATAATTCGAATACAGAGTTTGTTGAAAAATCATTTATAACATTTATCTTATTTAAAAGCAAACTAATTTGTGTAAGCCAACGTGCATATATATTACATGTACATTAACCATATCAATTAAATTTATCAGTGCACTGTGATATAGGTTTTGTATATAACTACATTGATCCTTTATCAGCATTTTACGCAAGATTTAAGCATTGTTTATTTGTAAACTTCGGTGTCCCGTTAGGGCCATCGCGACACACACATAACTCGAAACAACGAAAACAAGAAAGAGCGATGGGGAGAAACGTCGAGATAACAAAAGCACGATAATGAAAGGTCGATATAATTTCGTGTTTTCACCATGGTGGCTTTGTTTCATTATTAGATTTTTCACCATCTTACTTTAGACTATAAATTATCGTGGTTTCGACTTTCCACTTTTGAGTTTTTACCATTGTTTTTTCACCTCCCTGTTAAGCATGCGCACTGAATGACAATCTACAAAGGTGTCACCGGTAGTACGAAACAGTTAATCTTTAAAAAAGCACATTGTACTTACTTTATGCTAACATCATGGCCCAAAGCAATATACAAAAATTTTGGTTTGTAATTGTATCCTTTGAAAAAAATATTTTCTTAAATCCTCATACTTTGTTATGATCACTGTGCGCTTGCCAGACAGGAAGGCGATACTATGATCGTGAAAGATTCGATGGTGACAATCGAAAGTTCATTGATGAAAATTGGAAAAGAAACCACAAAAAACAAAAACGAAACCATGATTGTGAAAAGTCGAAAATATAATGATGAAAAGTCGAAAGTACGGTGGTGAAAAGTCAAAATAACGAAACAACGAAACCTCGATGGGAACGTACGATGGTATTAGACAAGAAATTATATCGAGTTTTCACCATCATACTTCGACTTTTCATCATCGTACCTTCGACTTTTCACCATCTTTGTTTCGTTATTTTACATTTAATACCATGGTATTTTCGTATTTTCATTGTTTCGAGTTATGTGTGTGTCGCGATAGCCTTAACGGGACACCGTAGTAAACAAACATTGAAGCTGTTGAAAGGTAAAGGTTCGTACAAAATTTCAAATAGCGCAACGATATTTAACAATCATACATGAAACAAGTCTAATTGATTTTCAGAAAATAGTAACAATTTAAGTATTATAAGCGGACAAATCGCACAAGTTTGTGACTATGTCTTGATTATATCTTTGAAAGAAACATGACGGGAAAGGATTTTGTCTAGTAATATATCACTTACTCATGCAATAGTTACAAAAATAAATGTATAATGGATGTTGTTTTACAAAACGCAAAATGTTTTTCATTAATGTTGCTATGACAGTGTTCTGCATACCTGACTAGAATGGAAAACGGTTGGACAAATTGTTAAATAGAATATACATAAAAACAGGTAAACTCAATATTGAATATTCCATTATTTTCCGTTATATATATGTAATTTCTCAGTTGAAAAAAGTCACGGGGTAGGACTTGTTACACGAAAATTGGAATCTTTCCGATAACTTGTCATGTTGATTTTCTACCAGAGAGAAAAAAACTCTTTAAAATGTATTTATTTATATCTTAAATGAAAGGATAAGCTGTAAAATTAAAACCTAATAATAAAGATTGTCAACTACATTTTTGTATTTTGTGATTTACGTCGGGAGATATTGTATAAGGGAGTCAGCGTTGTATCTGAAGACATATTGAGTAAATATCGTATACATTAGCATATTTACAAACGAAAACCTATATATTTATGGTATCTTTCAAAAATTATAAGGTAGTATCATTTTTTTATGGGATTCTAAATGAAAAGCCCTTGTTTAGAATTTCATTTCTTACTTTTTGATTATTTGATGGTATACTCAAAAAATAACTTTGATGATGTTTCTTCGTTCCACTGAAAAGGAAAAGAACAAAACAAAACATATATATAATTTTATTTGCCCACATTGTTATATAAACTTTATAACATGTACATTGTTTTTTTTAAATTCAAAGTATTAAAGTGTCCGAGTTATTAAATAACGTCAATAATCACTTCCTTTTATATTTGTATGACCTTCTATCTCAAATTAAGTGTTTTTATCTCAAAGTACGCATACTTTTCATTATTTCATAAACATGTTTGGATCCCTTTGATTATGTTCTTATCAAAAAGTAAAAAAATTCAAGCAACATTATCCTTCCAAAGATAATTGATTAAATTAACTTACAATTTTTTTATTAATTAAAAGGACTGTATCATCAACCTAGCCGAGGATATGGAGGAAATCAAAAAGACACTTAGTCAGTACCCTTCAAGTTTCAATGTCCAAGAAACGATAGCTGCTTTCTCACGTGAAGAATTGGAAAAGATAAGACACAAATTAGAGATTGAACTGGAATCTTCTGAAAAAGAATTCAGCACGGACATGGAAAAGTTAAGAGTCGAAAATTTAATGTCTTTTCTTCATTACCATCTAGGAGATCGAGAAAAGGCGACACAGTTCAACAAAAAAGTTTTAGACACAGAACCAGAGAATATGATAGCTTTATCAAATAAAGCTTGGTTTTCTTTACGAGACCGTAAAAACATATTGCAGTGCAAAGAACAATGTGACCGTCTCAAAGTAATAAAGAGACAAAACCAATTGGCTTGTTTAATGGCTAGAGCTGAGGTGGCATTTACCTATTCAAGACTAGGAATACGGAATTACCAGAAGGCATCGTCAGAGTTCGAAAAGGTTCTTCAAGATTGCAATACGATTAAAACAGTGGGAAATGGACCTAATTCGGAAGATAATTCAACTCCAGTTCCAATAGACTATTGTTGCGTATGGATGTATGGAAAAGCCCTCTGTCAACAGAGACTGTCCAATTTGCATAACATGTACGACCTAGCAGATATTGAAAAACAGAAAAACAGTTGCAGTCTTACGCTAGATATATTGTCAAATATAGTTGGGATAAAAGATTCTGAAAGCGCTTGTATCAAAAGATACAAAGCAAGATCATTTATTGAAATTGGTTGGATTGCGTATGAAGTCAGCAGAAATAAGTACGTGTTTCCAAAAGGCATGGAAGAGTTTATGCCTCCAAATTCACCACTTCTAATGCCTCCGACAAATTATTTTATGAAAGCTCTTGAGTATTATCAGGATGACGTATTTGTTCTTGAACGAAGCGGGAAGTACTTCCGATATATAAATGAACTTGAAAAATCAATAGATCTTCTACTTAAAGCTATTCAGATTAAACCAACCTCATTTGGTTATCATCACATCGCCTTGTCGTTCAAAAGGCTACTTGAATTTGGTGATGGAGCATTAGCACGAAAATTACAAGAAATTCCCCTGGACTGTCAACAGGGATCAGTGCAATCAGACAAGACGGATGAAGACGCAACTGAAGTATCTGAAACACACTTCGAGCATTCAAAAGGAGATAGTATCGGTCTTTTTACCACTATGTCATCCAGCAAATTTAATAATATTGCAGCGGGCAACCCGACGACAATACAAATGCAATTTCATGAAACAAATACCCGTATGAGTGATAATAATAACCACAAACCAAGATCATCGTATAGAACAAGAATACATAATAATTATAGGAGTACTGTATACAAAAGCCACAATCAAATGTTTAAAGCTTACAGAGGACAAAATGTTGGAATACCATTCTTTGAAACACCAGTTCAGCCAAATAACAAAGAAACGCATGTCACGCGGCAATCAAGTGATGCCGCTGTTGATTATTTGACTGGGACATTTTCACAACTTGATATAAACCCTCAAAGAGGGAACGCAATCACATTTCCAGTTTATGGACACTATAACTCAAGAACTTTTCGAGATAGAAGTCAAAGGTATGACAGACGTCCCTATAATCGGTGCAGTTACAAAAGATTTTGCAACAGAGTTACTAATTCTCCCTGCGGTCCTTCGAGGCAGAAAAGCAAAATAGGAATTAAATGCCCCAAAAAGCCAATCAGTATTGATTACAATGAACATAAACCTGTTGTTGATAAAGTCATTGCGTATCTTGATAAAGCTTTTGAGATGTCGTCAAATACGGTTGCAATATACGATAAGGCCATACTTTATAGGCAGATTAGTCAACCTGAAAATGCATTAAAGGTTTTAGATAATTTGTTACAGGTCAATGATCAATTAATTCCAAAAATTATGCTGGCGAACATTTACGAGCAGTCAGCTTTTTGTATAAATGATATGTTTCTCATCTCTGATGATATCAACATGAATAAAAGAAGAGACATGGAGGAGGACAGGGACTTTTACCTAAAATCATCAATTGAGATTTCATGTGCCCTTATTAATAAGATTCCATCCCTCCATAATTGCTGGAAATCTGCTGCGACACTGAGGAATGTCCTTTACGATAAATTAGAGATAGAAAGAACGAAAGATACTCTTAAAGAACTACGGAATCTTTACAAAAAGCTAAATGATCATTTTGATGCAATTAAAATACTTAAAGAATTGCAAACATTAGCCGATAACGAAGAAGAAGAAAAGGAGTTTCTAGAGGGAATTGTCGAGCATCAACTTTCCATGGGGAACTATGAGGAGGCAGTAATCGCTCTATGCATGTCTAAGCAACTAAGGGATGGGCAACCAATTATTAAAAAGGATTTGTACATCAAAGCTTATATCGAGGCTGGTTTGAACGCTTTCACACGAAAACACTATCAAAAAGGAAACATGCGTATCCGAGAGGCGTTTAGATTTGTGAGAGAATCTCAACAAATTCCCAAAAATAGTGAAGCATCTAATGAAACAAACATAGATGCAGAGGAAAATGAATCATTCGACCTTTTTATTCTTTCAAACCTTGATGACGACGAAAATGGTCGAAAACTCATGATGCTTTTAGATAATTTTGGACTGAAAACAACATTTAATACAGATAGTCCAGCGATTACTCCAGGTACACCAGAAGTAACTGGAATGACAAACATAATGAACAGATCGAATGCTTTCGTGATTTTAAAAGACTTTGAAACAGACAATAAGACAATGCAACATATAATTGATAGAATGCAAAATATTGTGGAAAATAGACAACACAAAACATTGATTTTAGTAGTGACACTACAAGTTTCTACGGAAACACAACCAGGATCTTTTTATGCAACGCAGAAAACAATTACAATTGATCTTAAATCTGTATCAGAGGACACTTTGTTTGCAGTTGTACCCGAGGGTGTCAAAAGTTTGTTAATGGCTCTTGCGTCGGTGTAAAAAAGCTAGTACGCTGTTGAATTGAAACTCTTTGATCCTTGTACGGTTATGTACATTTTCTATATATATACATGTTCGCTGCAATATGTGTTAGATGACATAATAATTGTAATTGTTTCTTGTTAAGAAAAATGTAAATGAGTGATGTCCCTTAGTCCGAACCTTTTGCCATTTTTGTTATCGTTCAAAAGTACATCGATGTTGAAATATCGTAGATACGACGAATGTTGTTTCACCTTGGCACGATTTTGGTTGCAGAGTGAAGTTTAAACATTGTTATTGATGAAATAAAGAATGATATTTTCGTCGAACAGTGGAACCGATAGATGTTCGGATCAAGAAGATGACGAAGCGAAAGGCCTTACCTTCTCCAGTTAAAACAAAGTAAGACTAGATATAGGACAACATTCAATGAAGTTCAGACTTGTTATTGTCAATCGATTAAAAAAAGTATTAGAGAAATTTAAGAAAATAGTTTTTGTTGTCAGATTGATGACGTATTTTTTGTAAGATTTGAGGGTCGTACTTAGCACTGATAAAGTAACAACATAATTTTGGATCGTGTTTGATGTGTAAAATTGTAAAGTGATTATATTCACTAGGGAACAAAAATTGCAAAAGGAGTTGTTTAATGTTATACATCGGGTCAAGTGGCATTGATTAGAATTTGTATAGCAAAGTCAGATATACAATATCATTGATTTCTATGGAGGGAGAATAAAACTATAAAGAATGTGAATATAAATTTCAAAGTCTGTTTTTTATGAAAGTACCATATTTTGGCATAATACTTTTGGCCTTAGTGGCGAATTACACCCGATGCCTACAGGGATAATAATGCATTCAAAATATACAGACAGGTTGTCCAACAGATGATGCTCATTTGATTTATAGACGACCATTTTACATGGACAATTCCCTGTGTCATTTGTCATGAATATTTCTCTCAAGTTGGCGTCGTATGCAAGACCTTGTGCGATATTTTTGATGGCAAAGATGGCTTCGCAAATGGTACCGGCTATATTGTTTAAATATCAGAAGTTAATAGTTTCGTCAGTCAAAAAGATATAGTGTACATATTGCAAGGGCATAATAAACCCTTTACTTATTATCTGCCAACAATGTGAAAAGGTATTCATTTTTATAAAAAAAATAAGAAATACATGACTGGGAAACAGTAAAATAGCATAGAAATATCATTCAAACGTGAAATAGACTGATTTCTATATGATAATTACTGTTTTATTTTTGATACATGTGTGTGACATTGTACAACAGTTGAAATAGATGTGGATGTTAGAAAATTTATGAAAAAAAATCATGTAATAAGCATAATTTGAATGTAATCGGTTTTTTTTGTATAAAAAGCGATTTTAAAATTGAAGGTTGTAAAGTATATTTTATTTGCTTTTTTGGGTGGACGAAATGGAAATTTAAGATATTTGAATATGGAATGAAATATATTTGAATGAATGAGTATTAAATTTTGAAAAGGGCTTTAACATTCCAAAGAGGGGAGTTTGTTGTTGAGAAATGTATGTTAGATGTCTACTACATTTGTATTTATTACAGGGACTCTAATAAGGTTTTTCGAAATTAATGATTCATATGACGTAGGACTAGACAATTTACTTATGTGTAAAAATTATCTTTTGCTCACTCTGTTTTTCCAAAATAATAATTGTAATTGTGAAAAATGATCCAAAATTGAGTGTATTTGTAAGTCATCTTTTGCAAATCTTTCTTAGCTGATCTATGTAAGAAATTTTCTAAGTTTCTAAGACCCTCAATATTATATCCTTCGATATTTTAGTAAAGTGGACAAGAGTGATGTCCCTTGTTTATTACTATTTGATGTAGGAAAATATATTTGATGTAGGAAAATATATGGATACATCCTTTATTTATTCATTGCAAACAGTCTATGCGTAGAACTAGGTCAACACAAGTTTAATCAAGATTTTAGCAAATGCAGGGCGTCATCATATAAGACAAATCATTTTTATACATACTTTTGCTTTAATCTGAACTTAATATTCCCTTTTCAGTATTGTTTCATCCTTAGTAATTACAAATTTTAACTGATTGTAAAACGCATCATTTTGTGGAGGAAGCCAGGTTTTTCAATTGTATTTGGGAAGTTACCCATGACAACTATTTAGAAAAGTCAGACGATTTTAAAGATAAATTATTCGATCAATAATATCAAAGTTACAGTCATGTTATTTATGGTTAAATCTTTTGATGAATGTAAAGTTTTGAGAAACTTTATTCATTTTTTTCTGATTTAGATATAGTTTTTCTTGAATTACCCAAGGTTGTTCTATATACACTTTATTGAGCTGTGTGTACATTTTGTGCACAATTTCTAGGTTGCGCTCAGAGTTTCGTCAGTCTGTATAAGCACAGAAAATTTAAGTTTGCAGCTGAGGAGTATATAAACCCCTGTTAATTCCGCCAGAACAAGTTTCTAAGATTTGCCCTCCGGTTTGGGTTTTGATAGTGAACATATGTTTTTCATTGTAAGCCAATTTAATGTTTTTTTCATTTTTGTATTCATGAATAGATCTTTTATCAGTCATTTAAAAGTAAAAGTTATCATTTGAATTAAGAAATTTATTGTTTAAACTTAGGCTGGTTGACATATATATATTTGCATTTTGAGTTTAATTACATTAAACTACTTTAGCACAGATCAAAATTTTAACTATTACTGTGCTAAAATTGTTGTTTGGACTTTGTCATATGTGTTTTGCTAGTATTTTGGTAGTTTTGATTTATAAGTCATATAGTAATTTAGATAAACCCTTAAGGAATAAAATTTAATTTACTAATATTAGTGCTTCTTTTTATAGTTTATGTAAAGGTAAATGCAACTACATCCCTTAAGCTAGAAATTAAGATTAGCCACATTCGAGCCACATTTCCCCGACTTTGTCCGGAAATAACTTGTGCAGATACCTAGAATAGGAATCAGCAAGGAAATACTACAGCCGACCAGAGCGTAACAATACGTTAGATGACTACACTATTTGTATTTATTTGTGGTAAAGTTGGTTTCCAACTACAACAGGTTATATTATTATTATTACATAATATTGTATAATTTTACTGAAGAAGTACACATTAAATCCTCATAAATGTGTTTGAAGAAATAAAGGTTTAAACTAAGATTTAAAGTTTATTATTGAATATGTATGTACACTTCATTTTTATTCGGCTGCAAAGCAGCCGAGTCTTATATGATTGGAGAGGTCATCAGACCTCTTCACAATGTTGAGAGTGATTGTTGGCGTCATCCTTTTTGCGTCTAAAATTGAAGTTAATGAATCTCGTTTACAGTCTTGAAACATTAGAATCAATCTACAAACATAGCTATGCGAATGCTCCGCTTCAAAATACCATATATCAACGGTCATAACAGGTCTTCGTGGTTCTAAATATACAACAAAATAATAATAATAATAATAATAATAATAATAAAAATAATAACAAACAAAACAGATTTTCATCCGTCTTCTGATCTTTTTATGTCTTTGTTTAATTAAAACTTCGTTTTTTTGTTTATCGGCATTGTTTGATATCAACTTAAGCGATTCCAAAATTAATCGTTTTTGATAGATAGGAAGAAAGAGTGCCTAAAAAAGATTATTCTTGTAGATATCATTATTACCCCCTTTTTTACTCGTATCAAAATATAAATTTGAATATAAGTTGGTGCTTATTAATCTCTATGCCATTTTTGTTGATAATCAGAATAAAGAATAATCTATAAGCTGCGAAAAAGAAAAGAAAAAAGAAAGAAAAAAGGTCCATTATATGAAGTATTACTTAAACAATCATAGTAATAGATCAAAGTCCATGCAAGCACGCACACACATAAAGGGTCAGATGTGCTTCATATCATTACTCTAAACATATTGTATGCTCACAAAATCATTTATAATAGTGTGTGTATAGATATATTTGATAAATGGTATTTAATAAATCTATCTAATTTGTAATTTAAGTAGGGGATTAAACTGCGATTATCTGTCATGAAAGAAAATAATATTTGGACGCAAGGGATGAGAAAAAAGTATGTGTTAGCCAGTCTTGGGACTAAAACCCTTAAAATGAAAAAATGCAAACCGCGGGTGGTTTTGGATTAAAGTATTCTGCATACACTTAATAGATATGTTAATCGATTAATTTTGTGTCGAGAATTAATCTTCCTGGTGAGAGCAAATGGTGGTCCAATGGAACTTTAACTTTCGTAGGGCAACTTCCTTACATGAAAGGAATCCAAAGTTCCTAGCGAGATTCGAACTCACAGTGGTTACGGGCAAGTAGTTTGAAGTAACTAAAATACAATTGTAAGAAATTGTATGAAACGAAGATTCATAAGAGTCTAATAAAAATCATTTATAAAAAATATCCTGTTTATAAGCAAATTAACTTGTATATATGCGGCTGTTATGTTTCCTCCATCGATTATATAGTTTACGAAGCATTGTAACGCAACAATAAGAAAACATTTTTATTGATTTTTTTAGTTCTTATAATGTTTTCTTTTATGCAATTCTGAAATATTATCTCACATACACTAAGGCCATAGATTTGACAATTTATTTTTAATATCAGTTAATAAATATTTTGACCAACGGCGCCAACCCGTAAACAGCGTAATTACGTCATCATAAGCATACAACTCATTCAAAACGCGCTAGAATGACGTCATTTCTAGCCTACGAAAATGATTAATCAAACACTGATGTGAACACAATACAAATTTCCAGTCTGAGACGTAAGTTTTTATTTTGAAAACTTGATAAAATAACCTTTTTCTTATTATTTCTTCTTTTTTTAAAATAATTTCGATATCTTAGCAACAGTAGGGTGCGAAATCGAACAGCGTTATACGAAATCGGCACCGGAAGATATCTTCCTTACATTATCTTGTTAGAATCGAAATGATATCGGTCTATCGGCTATTTATCACCTGTGTTAAATGCCCGATAAATACCTCTAAGACGAATACTATTTCTTAAATCATTTATTTAAAAGCAGACTTACTTGTGTAAGCTAACGTGCAAATATACTACATGTACATTAACCATATCATTCAAATTTATCAGTAAACTGATAGGTTTTGAATGTATCTACATTGCTCATTTATTAGCATTTTACGTAAACTGTAAACATTATCTGTAAACTACGGTGTCCCGTTAAGGCCAGCGCGACAAACACACATAACTATGGCGAAACGTCGAAATAACAAAACCATGATTGTGAAAAGTCGATATCGTAATTTCGTGTTTTCACCATTGTACTTTCGACCTTTCATCTTTGTGGTGTCTTTATTTTTCACCATCTTACTTTCGACTTTTCATTATCGTGGTTTCGACTTTTTACCATAATTGATTGTACTTTCGAGTTTTTACCATTGTCTTTTCGTCTTCCTGTTAAGCATGTGCACTAAATGCTAATCTATATAAATATGGCACCGGCAGTACGAAACAATTAGCCTTTTGAAACGCATAATGCTCTTACGTTATGCTAACATCACGATCTAAAGCCATGAACAATATTATATTTGTTTGTAAATGTATCCTGGAAAAGTATTTTTTTCAATCGTCATACTTTGTTTTAATCACTGCGCGCATGCCAGGCAGGAAGGCATTACTACGTTCGAGAACTGTTTGGTGCTGGATGGTGAAAAGTGCAAATTTAAGAAAGAAAGAAAAGAAAAAAAAAAAACAACAACCCTCCCCCCAAAAAAAACCCCAAACAAAACAACAAAAAAAAAAACAACAAAAAACAAAAAACAAACGAAACCATGATTGTGAAATAGCCAAAATTAAATGTAGCTTCTGAGCCGAAAACTACATAAACGTTACTGTCACTGTTCTTAATATCTAAATAGGCAAGAATCCCATTTGAGACTCTGTCCAATGCCCGTCCAAATGGGTTTAGAAAGCGAAAACGGTCAGATTGGAATAAACACTAGTTTGAACTCTGGAAAGGCATTTATCTTCTATTATATCTCTGGTCGGATGGTTGCCATGTTGATTGGTATTGATGAAGTAAAACGTTAGGCAGTCCAAAGTGCGCGATTAACGACATGTGTAGAACCCCTTAAAACAAATACAAAGGATATAAATGATAATTTTTGTAGTCATCCTATACGAGGAAGAACTATTGAATAATTCATGAAAATAGTTTTTGGAAGTTGAATCTTTGGGAACATTTGACAGACAGTTGTGTTAATCATGTAACTAAACAAACGAAACATCTGTAAAGCCGGACAAAGTTTGGAGTTTACAGACCATAGAAGGAGTCAAATATGAGAGCATTCAACGAACGCATCCCCCATTCCATTTCACAGACTGAATTCTAAATTGCTGTAAAACGCATCGAATATACTAATAATAAAAAGGCCTTCTATAGTTCAAGTAAGATAAGAACCTTAAAATGATATAAAATAAAACTCTATTCAGAAGGAAAATGTTAAGAAAATAGAAAAATAAAACCATGAATATTATATTGATCAAAAGTTGTAGTTGCTGCATTTTTTAAGTATTTTAGACTGATAAAGCAACATCAAAAATAGCATCGTTTTTGATAATCAAGCAAAATGTAAATGATTATTTTTGAATGATACTATTCATGAGGAACCAAAATTGCAAATGGATTTGTTTGATGCTATACAACGTATACGGATGCATTGATGTGTAAATATATCTTAGAACGTGTATAGCAAAGCCAGATAGACAATATTGATTTCTATGAAAAGACAATCAAAACGATACAGAAGACAGAATGTGTAAATATATTTCCGAGTTTGTTTGTGATGAAAATACTTCGCCATATTTTGGCTGATATTTTACGCCACAGTGCCGAATTAAATACTGAAATTCACCCGATGGCTGCAGAGGTAATAATGCATTCAAAATACACAGATATGCTAGCATATCCAACAGATGATGTTCATTTTTCTCCTAACCATTTTAACATGACAAGTCGACAAGTCATTTGCCCTAAATCTTGCTCAATGTTCTGTGCACTCGATCGTCGGCGTCGTATGCAGGAGCTTGTTCGACATTTTTGATGGCAAAGATGGCTTCGCTAATGGTTATATTGTTTACATATCAGAAGTTATTGGTGTTATTTTGATACACATGTGTGACATTGTACAATAGTTTAAATAAATATGGATGTTAAAATGAAATAACTTTGTGTCATGTTATAAGTATACATTAAATGTAGTCCTTTGTTTTTTTATAACAAAATAAACGGTTTTAAAATCTGAAGGTTGTTAGTGAGGTGACGAGATGAAAACGAAGATCTTCGAAGACCTACTTAAGTGAAATATATTTGGGTATCAATGAGTGTTAAGTTTTAATATAACAAAGGCTTTAACATTCCAAGGAGGAGAGTTTGTTGTAGAGAAATATATGTTAGATGACCACGATATTTATATTTGATAAAGGAACTCTAATTCGGTCTAGACAATTAACTTGCGTGTAAAAATTTGAGATTCTTCGCGCACAAAATGTTTCCAAAATAATTATTCGAATTGTAAAAAATGACACAAAATTAAAAAGCCTTGCAACGCTGTTCATTTAATAACGACTGGGTATAGAACTAAAAAATAATTCAATTCATTCCTAAATCATCGTTTGCAATTTCTTTGGTTTTATGTGACCTAGCTGGCCTATTTAAGAAAGTCTTTTTTAATCTATTGGACCTCAGAGGACTTCCTTAAATAGTAAGTAAAGTGGACACGAGTGATGCCCCTTGTGTATTACTATTTGATGTAGAAAAATATATGTTAGATGACTACAATACTTGTATCCACTTGTTGTAAAGTTGGATTCCAACTACAACAGGCTTTACTGTATAATTATTACATAATATTGTATAATTTTATTGATGAAGTCTGTCATATTAGGACACATTTAATCTTCATAAAATTTTTGGAGAAATAAATGTAAATTCTCTTCTTAAGATTTAGATTTCCTATAGTATTGAATATATAAAATTATTCTGTATGGACAGTCCATTCTTATCATTAGCTATAGTTTTTATGTTGATTACTATGTTTAGCTTCATTGTGCTAAGTAAATAACTTATGGATAAATTTTTTCACATTCACTTAGCATAACTTTTCCTCTATCATATTTTTTTAAACCACTAATACTGATAGCTTATTAGGTA